TTTGCCCATTTGTGTTTTCTTGAACAGCATTTTGGCGTTATTATGTGCGACGTGCCGTTGAATTTATATGGCCTTTTTTGTTCTCAGCATACCGTTTGCTTCTGTTTGCAGCGAACGAGCAAATTTACTGTTTATCATGGGCTTACTTGTAGTGAACTCAGTATAAGGGGTCATCTTTTCAACAATAAATGCTACTTTCACACGTGTATAACCATCGTGTTGGTGGTGAACGTTTCTTATTTCAATGTGTAACACAGACTTAATCTGGTGGCATGTATCTAGGTTAGAGTTCTACGAACAGCTCTAATCGATAGAGTTTCAGTTTCAGTTTTACAACCATTAATTAAGCAATTTCGTGCGCCGGTATTGGTTGCTGTCTTTGGGCCTCCCATTTGGATATCAAACTAAGTCAAGTCAAGAAGCGGCTCTAATTCAGCTGCTACACAATCAGTCTTCTGTGGAACTTGCATGGTAAAAAACGGATGATGATATGTTACATATACAAACAAATGAGAGAGATTTAGCAAAGATTTTGTTTAAGAGGCCTAATGACGAGATCAGCGTTAGTAAGAAACCGTGCCAAGTACGGTATCACGGAAGACTTGTACGTTGTAGTGCGTGCTGCTATATGCTTATGCATAGAGCCAGTGCTAGATGTCGAGATACATTGACTAAGGTGAGGGTACAGTGGATAAGATGGGTCAAGTAGTATTCTGGTGGAAAGTTTCTGGCCAGCCCTTAGGTGCTGTGAAATAATAAACTGCACAATATACTCACGAGATATGCCGCTGTGTCGACATACGTGTTTGATGGATGTGCGTATGAGTTTGAAGTCTTTGATAAGAGACCCGGAAATAAAACAGGGGATGCATAAAGCCGATGGGGAAGGATACAAGAGAAAACAAAACGCGTTATTAAGTGAGTTGGGGTAGGTAGCATTTTCAAACGAATAATGTAAAAGGCTAGGTTTCTGATTAAGAAATGTCTCGATTATATGAGGAGACTAAGAAAGACTGCGGGAAATAGCGACTCCAAGATATTTGACGGAGCATGCTCTGGAAACTTTCATTTATTCGAAGATTGTGTTCTGAAGACCAGTCGGTGAGCAGTGAAATATTCCGCAAAAGTTTGGGGTACACAGAGGAATTTGAAAACTTCATGCCATGCACCGCATCATCGGCATACGTAATGAGAAAACAATCATCAAAAGCAGGCATTGAAGAAATATTATAGGTTACGAACAAGAAGGGAGAGAGAGAATACCTCCTTCAAGAACTCCTTGAATGGAGGATAAAAGTGAAGAGTTATGACCCTTATATTTAGTAAACTGTGATCGATGGGTGAAATAATTACACAACAGATTGGTAAGCGCTAAATGAATGCCTTTCTGAGAAAGAGTGTGAAGGAGTTTGGAACTATTAAAACACAATTAAATGCATCACTGTAATCAAAGAAACATGCATGAACAGCTTTACATTTCCTGTCCAAGGAGGAAGAGACATAATGAATAAGGGTTGCTAACTCATTATTGGTTGACCTGTAACTACAATAGGCAAGTTGATTGGGATCAGGTGCATTCAGCTGAGGCAACTTCTGTAAAAAAAGCCGTTTCCATGACTTTCAAACCATCAGCAGTGCAAGGAATTGGGCGAAATTTGGACGGTCCCTTTTTGGGTACTGGCGTAATAGAAGCCACTCTCCAGCAGTCCGAAATGTAATGTTGAGTAAACCACTGGTTGAGTAGATCGGTGAAAACAGGGAAAGTGAAACTGCACATTCTTTGAGCACAACAAGTGGTAGTCCATCAGGAACGAATGCTTTATTAGACTGATAGATTAGATTGATAAAAGTTTTGAATATTTCTGTTTGATCAGTAATTAAATTAGCAACATCAGGAGCAGGGACGACTGCTGTGAGTGGAATAGGGATGTCGGTTTCAGCATTGCTGAATTGGCGATTGAGATCGTTCAAATTGGCAGCTGGAAGATTCTCTTTCTTTTTGAGACTGCCGAAGTGAAACATCATTTTTCATGTATCCCGACAATTCCTGTTTGCTAGCAGTGCAGGTATATAAGCGGCGTTTAATCTCGGCAGTTCAACCTTGATTGCTTTCGGATGGTCTCTCACCAAAGAGTACCTTTTTTCTTTGAAAGTTTGTTCTTTCTTCGGATGTAATCGTTTAAGTGTAGGGGACGAAAAACGGTCTGACCGTACGTATAAAGTTTTCCACAGGCAGCACGTATCATAACAGAACTTCAAATATTCTGTCAGGGTATAACAAAATATACAGGGGTCATTGTGTACAAATAAAGATAAATTTGTCTGATCTAATATATCTCTTAGTTTGGTGTGATTTTCGGGTCCACATTGACGCCGACGAAGACGACTATCACGATGCTGAGTGTATAACTGATGATTGGATCTACTGTAGATAATGGGAGATAGTTTCAATGTTGCATGATCAGAGGTGCCAATATGAGAACGGCTGTGCAATTTTTATAAATTCAGTTCGTTAATGAAACACAAGTGAAGACAAGCTTCAAGTCTATTCGGAAAGTTAACAACGTTTTGTAGTCCAAGTGTTGTCAAAAACCTGACATCAAACCTACTGAAGTCACCACACACGATGCAAAAGGAGGAGTCTACGTAATGTAGTAAAGTGGCGGTGAAAATATCTGTGAACTCATTAAAATGATCAGTGGAACAAGAAGGAAAAATGTAAATGTTACCAAAAATAATATTTCGGCAGTTGCTGAGGTGTTTAGGTTGGCATTTGTACAGTGAAGTACTGATAAAAAATGGTAGAATACGTAAAAACTCGCCTGCCTGATTTGCACCAATTATCATTTATGTATGTTATAACACCACCGCCTCGTTTGTGAACCGGAACGAGTCGGTCAACTCGGCACATGGAAAATTTTTCGATTTTAACCACGTTATCATCAATTGCATTATGGAGCCAGCTCTACTGAAGCATTACGACTCCAACCTTCGAATATTCACGCCTTTTTGTCTGATCTATTACTTCTGCCATATTACCAAGCAGGTAGCGCACATTTCCACTGATGACTGCTGGAATGCATATCTGCATTCCATCGATGTCTGAAACTGATCGTTTGCTTAGTAAGACCTGCCATCCAGCTCGATGTTTTCTGGGAGATTTTTTTTATATTTATGTAAATTCTTCCCTCTCTATTACGAACCGATTTGCCAAAAGAGGGTGAAATCCAGTCGCCGGAAATTCCTATACCAATACTGGGTGGATATATCCACCCAAAACGCTGAGTCTTTATATGACCTCATCATTTCTATTATCTACTACCAGATATCCAGAAATTATTCAAGAATCCAAACTGCAGGATCTCGACTTGTGAATAAAGCATACATTGCAACCAGAGAAAATATCACCTTGTATGAAGAAGACGTCCGTCCTATGGTTCGATGTTCAGTTCAGTCAGTCAGTCAGTCAGTCAGTCAGTNACATTTCCACTGATGACTGCTGGAATGCAGATGTCTGAAACTGATCGTTTACGTAATGCAACCTGCCATCCAGTTCGATGTTTCCTGGGCAATGTTTTGAGATTTCCGTAAATTCTTCTCTCTCTTTCACGAACCGATTTGCCAAAAGAAGGTAGAATCCAGTGGCCCGCAATTCGAAGTTGCTTCATAAAAACGGCAGAGTATTTCACAGAATTTAGGATGACCATAATTGCACAACGTTTCTATGACAACAAAAGAAAAGTGATTTTGTAGTTTCGAGTCCGACGATGTAACGGACCGAGCGGCCAATTTCAAAGGTCCCACTCGAAGAGAAAGATGAAAATTGGACTGTTGAAAGCCAATTGAAGCAGAATATGGAAAATTCATATAGACTGGTGTTATGAGAATAATGAGTAGATGCATGTGCCTCACTGTTTGAGACACCCAACCATTTCATTTAGTGTCTCTAACCATTGGTGACCATCTTCTCGGGGTCCCCAGCCAGGGAACCTAATGGGTTCTATGTGATCTAGTCTCCTGGTTAGGGTTTTCACACCGTCATGCCAGGTCTTCGTTTGACCACACTTAACCTTTTTCCAACCACGCCCTGCCTCGGAAAATATCGCTCGCCGTGGCAACCCATCTGGTAACGTGCGTAACACATGCTCCAACCAACGTAATCTATGTAGGGCGACTACTTGCTCCAGTAGATTCCCGCGACTGCCTAAGACTCTACACCCAACCTCAGCATTGCTCGTCCGGTTACCCCACCAGACTTTTGCAATGCGACGTAGACAGCGGTTTTCAGACACCGACAATTTATTTTTGTTCTCTTCCCGTGGTTTCCAAGTTTCTGCACCGTAGAGCAGAACTGTCCGAACTGCTGCAGCATATACTCGACCCTTCACAGACAGCCGGATGTCACGACGGTGCTAAAGATATCTCAAGTTGGCAAAAGCCGACCGAGCCTTTTGTATCTGCATCGACATTTCATCTGTGATGCGTCCGCCAGGTGAGAGCGACAGAGCTATTAGCTGGTACGATTCTGGCGTAAATAGTATCGCTACTGTCTATGTACTTTGTTTACCTATCCAGGTTTCCTAGTCCTCATCTTTATTTTGAAATAACGTGGTCACCCTTTTATTTAATTATAACCCTTTCTGAGTTAGTTGACTAGATCAATAGGCAAGCGACAGAGAGCGAAACCGACGAGCAGTATTATTACTTTTACAAACGGAGCTGTACTGATAGATAAATTCATAGGTCATTGGATTGCAATATTACTGTAAATACTTTTTCATGTTATATTAAGGTCTGGTTCTTTTTCCATCCCCGAGGAGCACTGTTTTTCTCAGCATTTTTTGGCAATATATGTATATATATGTACTTCTGTTGTTAATTGAAAAGCACAAACACTATGCTATTTTACTGGTTAGTGAGTATAATACACAGCAATCAAGCCAACCTATCAAGTGACCCGTTACGGCTTATATGGTATATGCTGTTTAACTTTTCCCCAGATTGCCTACTCCCAAGTTGCCGGATGTTCGTCTCGTCCCCGATGTACTGATTGAATCGTGTGTCGTCTCTTTAGTTGCTCTGGCAACTACCGTATCCCTAGTCAAACTGTATGCATTTCGGGGTGGATATGATGTACAGTATACGCAAGTGAGTGTACTGGCCGCGTGATCCGATTGACCTGTTTAACTGCTGTTATTCATCACATTTTTTGTTTTATGAACAATCCGTTCTTACCGATTCTATGGTTGCTCGAAAATGGCATTCCGATTTTCGATTTTGCTACCCAAAGGAGATGACCGCCCTCGGTTTGGCAAATATTTTCGGAGGTCTGTTCCAAGGTCATCCAGCTTCTGCTGCTTTGGCGCGAACCAGTGCTGCGGTTGGTGCCGGAATGAAATCTCAGGTGAGCATATCGATCATTTTTTTAGTCCTGTTGGTCGAATCGTAAGTCTTGAAACCGCCTTTTCTATTCCTATTTGGCATAAGCGATGAAACAAATAAAATGTTATTTGGTATGTTGTCAATTTGATTTCAGGGATACCTATGCTTTCACTGTTAACATATGATGGGTTAAACGCCAAATTCGCTTAGACTTCCTGTTGGATTTTGGAAACCTGGAGCTCTGAAATGGCGTCAGAATCATTGAACTGTTCACTATCTCATGACTTAGCGAAAGCATGCAGTCCGCAAAGCTTAGGGTCTCTTTCAGTGCGGGCCGTAAATTCGATTGAGTTTTAGATGTTCACTGCCAAGAATGTTGTGTTAGTGTTAGCCCATTCGATTTTAACTGGCACCTGGCAGGGTTTTATCACCTCAAATGTGACTTTCAATCCTTGAGGGTTCCTTAATTCCGTATATGTGAAATTGATTTCCTTTGTGATTGAAGTCCCTGGAATGATCGATGAGCAGCACTGGAGAGCTGTTTCGTTATTGAACTCATCTGCAACTCCCACGTTTTGTGTATATGTTGGTAATTGATCCGTGAACCTTCGACTTGGGAGTTGATACACTCATTCCTGGGTTGCACAGTCTGGTGATCAGGCTGTCTAGTTGTTCAGCCTCTTCTTGTGCAAAGGAAAACTAGCCCTTCCTCTGATCAAGCGCAAAAGCACTGCTCCAATTTTTAACCAAAGAAGTCAATCGGGCCGTAACTAAGGAAATCATGGTCCACACGATGAATATATATATATATATATTTGCAATGTTCACAAATACTGCAGCAAGATAACTATGGGTTTAGAAGAAAAATACAGAAACAGAACAAGGAAGTAAAAATCAATTTTGGTTATGGAGTAACAACATTTTGCATTATTTACTGCACACAATTTGGACTTTTTTGTTTGTTTACTTCACTTTTGGGATTGCGTACATGAAAGAGTGCGTTCACGCAACTTACTTTTGTTCCATGCTATTTAGCAGTATCTACAGTCAACGACAATCTGAATCCTTCGGACGACGGCTGTGATGAAGGGCTTGAGGTTATCTGTCGAGTAACACCAAACAGTGAATCCCACTCAGAATCGAGGCGATTGCAACAGTTATTCAAATGTTTAACAAGATAAACACATGAAGTGCATAAATTCATGGCGAGAGTCTCACTTAGCGATTTTCACATGAATCGTTTCGACTCGAGAAGCTCTACATAAATAGATATATTTCCCTATTCTTACATTCTGAAAGTTCACCATTAGAATCTTCTACTTCTCTTACTAATATTGCCTATCCTGAATTCTCCGAACAACAATGTCTTATCAACTCGTTAAAATGCCGAAACCAGTAAAACTGTACATTGCAAAGGGTTGATCTGAACTCGCAATGAGTATTGAAGCACTACCCATCTTTTGAAAAAATGGGAGACATTGTCACCGTGCTTCATCAGACATACATCAATAAATCGTTGATATCAGCTTGGAGACGAAGGAGGTTTCGAATTTGTTTCACTGCAGAAACGAAGCACAATAACATACTCCGTTTTTCAACGCGGTTATTGGTCGAGGTTCGGGCGGGACTGCTTTCAGTTTCGGGCGTCAAATATCCTCATGTTCTGTTTGAGTTTCTCGCCAATACAACGCAAGCAATGTCTCACGTGTATCCTGTTTAATTGAACCAGGAGTTTATGTACTTCGGAAAGCGTAGAAAACAAATTACTTCAGCTAACAGGAGCTTTGAACCTCGGTGATATCCAGCACGTTCCACACCCAGGTACGGCCAAAAGGTGGAGCACACATTTTACTGCAGATCGAATCATTCCTATCACAACGAACCAAATTCCCGAACCTTTAGTCAAAACACCGCCAAGTCACATGTCGTCTACAGATTTCAACATAGATTCGGATTTACCTCCTTGAGCAGAGACGCAGGTGCGTACCGCAGTCTTGAATTTCTCGTCACCTGTAACATACTGGTCTCCGAACGGACTGAAGGGCAGCTTTCCAGGTTGTTTTCAGAACGCTGAATGCTCGGCTGAAAAGAGTTGCAGACTGTGACACTCAAGCACCGAAAGCCTCGTTATGACAAAAGAAAGAAGACCAACCCTCATCGGCCAGGCATTGCTTTGATAATCAATTGAATGGAACAGTGAATTGGTACCGTTTAAGATAATTGTTGCTTATTTTGTGTGAACCGTTCCTCTTTCTACAGCAAGCATTATTTGGGATACAGCGAAATGATTCATGGTATAAGTCTTGTTCATTCGCATTTTAGTGCTCTCTATTAAAGCCTATTACTGTGACTACTTTCAAACAGCAATCTTCAACCAACGTAGTCACAGTTCGCATAGCGTTGACTTATTTCAGTTCCCTATCGATCAGTGGCTTCATGTGACCGCACTGTCATGTGAATTTCCAAGCACTTTTGCCCTACGTTTGCCATGCATACGACAAAACACTTAATTGTTTGGTGCTCGTATGAGTTATTCTTATTTCTCCGTCCAGTTCCACAATGATGCATTACTGTTCCATTTTATATGCGGTGAATATCGCCACGTTGGAAGTTTTGCAATCGATGTTCATTCGGTCGAATATTGAATGGAGAATCCGTTAATACTACCTATGATTCACATAAATAAGCTAACAAACTGGAATTCCTCCATTTCCAGCGAAACCTCCCATTGTTAGTAATCAAAAACACGAGCGTAAAATTGAAAAGTAGTTCATTGCGCAATTGAAACCACGCAGGCAACTATGACACGTACTATTAAATCAGTCATGCAATGACCTCATAGTGAATAATCTCAACAGTACGAGATTTCGAACATGGCAGAACACCACGAAGGATGTGTGTATCATCGTTCTATTGTTATAATTCCTGAAGGCGGTGCTGGTCGAGGACAGTTATTTACGGTCAGGATATGGTTAAATTGTCATTCATACAACAAAATATCTCATTTGGAACAAGTTTGCGGAATTCCCGCACGCACATAGTCATAGGACAGTTGATGGAACTGTCCAATATCAGATGCGCATTCTTGTATTCACCATACGGAACAGCAGTAGTTTGCACCAACAGTCTTGTTTATTTTTGATCGTTGAAATAAACCGCTGATCGCGTTGTTTTGCTTACTGCTCACAGGCGAGTAGTATCTCACAACATTAACATGTATATGTGCGTACGGATCACGATTGTTAGACACAGTAAATTGGGTCAATGTGAAGGTAATGTGATATCGGACGGAATTTTGATCCAAACTTTTTATTGTGCTTTGGTATACTGAGAAACCACTGCAGGGATAACGTGAATGCGGATGAGCTACTGTAAATGGATAACTACTTGTGATATCTAGAGACCTACTTAAAATTTGTCAGAAGATAGCTGATGAAAGTAACAATGAAAGCACGGAATAACTGAATTTAAATACTTCCATATGAAAACCTTAACCACTTTAGCAATACGTATCATATCTTCAGGTCAAAAACATAAAGAAGAACAACATTTATAAGCGAACGGGTGTAAGCAGAACGCCACTCCACAAGCATTGTATATAACTCTCCGGTTGCTGATAAAACGTTTGCAAGCAAATTAGCAAGCTCGGTGAAAAGATGAAAACGAATTCAGTTCACCAAAGCTACTGGAACCGATTTTCAACACTTTCTCAAGTATATTTTGTTTCTGTAATTCGCTCTGAACTCATGATTATTTTGGCGCCATATCTATCTATCTGTCTATCTACTTANNCTCTATATATATATATATATATATATATATATATATATATATATATATATATTAGAAAAATATATTCTGCCTTCATGTTCATAATCAGACGAAGTGTATCAATCCATTACGTCCTAAACGGAAAATCACGCGTTTTACTGACCTCATTGAACAGCTTGTTGTCATAACGAATTATCACGGAGTTTCGCGCAAGGCTTTTCTCGTGTACCATTCTGGTTTCAAAACGTGATTTCAAGAATGTCAGCTGGGTTGAAATAATGATACAGATCTTTGCCAGGCTCTCTGGGTCAGATTAAGGTGGTGTTAACAGCACTCGGGTTCCAAACTATTAGTGTGTTAATTTGCACAGTTTATCGTTGCTCGTTTTATCTCATCGCTGTTGAAGCCTAATGCATGTACCGCAGTTGATCACCACAGATAATCGAGTCTGGTGATGATCGTTTACAACTCAAGAGATCAGTTCAGTAATTAGCTGGAAGCATTAAGTGATAAAAGCGGGTTTCACGCTTTCAACTACACCCGTTTGAAATATTTATCAAATTTTCTCGTTTACTGTCTTTTGTCCCCGTTACCTTTAATTTATTTATTCAGGTCATGATTGTAATCAACCATAGAGATGCTTCTTCAGTTCAGGGTTTATTTGTTTGATTATCACCGGATAAAGTTACTTAAAAATCAAATGGAGTGAGGAATGCTCGAATACGGCAGTACAGCTGCGTTTTCACAAGCAACTTGTATGTTGGCTTGTCACCGATGGAGAAACTTCGCGGGTCTGGGCAGCAATACTATACTGTTTGGGATTATCCGGGGGCGTAGCGATTTGTATTCACATCTGTTTGGTGGTGGAATCACGAAATGCTATTCAACTCATTTAACTGGAGATTTTTGAGAGTTCAGGCGTGCCACATACCACCTGGGACGCAATATATCGTTGAGTTTATTAGTAATGTGCACGGAACAAGTCGGACTTTGAAAAATAGTTACTATTACATACTATATGAATTGATCTGTGAGTATCTTGTTGTTTTCAATATATAAAAGTAAACATTTATTTTGGATACTTCAGTCGCTTTCACAACCTAGATCATAGTACCCAAGTGCTAGATCAATGTCTTAGATACATTAGAAAGAACTGAGTCGGATATAAGAGTAAAGTTGAAACGCGAAGAAATTTACTTTCAGTATATCGCTTCAGGCATTTACATATATGGTCCGATTAGTCAGTAGAATAATACAAGGCCTAGGCTGTTGTGGAATGAATGTTTGTGTACAAAATGTTTGGTCGACAAGAGGCTGTGGGGTCACGGTAGTTGGATAGGGGAAAACCGGATGAAAATATGTGACTTGGACACGATATGAGAGGTGTTAATCATGAATGAATAAAACGGATGTGAGTGTGCGAAAAAAGACAGCGAATGAGAAGTGTGGAAGGGAGAAAACAGACAGTGTCACAGTGGTTCTTATGACCATGGTAACAGCAGCGCTTGAACCATATTACGTTGTTTGCACAGCTCCGTCTTCATGATATATCGAAAAGAAATTTCTTCCCGTTTCGAATTTGTTCTTATGCATCAATGGGAATATTTTACGATTTGAGTCGGATATGCAATAATTTATTACTACTATGTATGTTGCGACAGCTTTTTCGATGTGAATTACAGAGTCCTAGGTTGGAACGGCATTCATCTGGTGACTGTTGTTATAACTTCTCCCTCGCTGTAGTCCTGCGATTTGTGCCGTAACCGTTATTAATAGTTTGAGATACTTCATAAAAACCCTTAAGTTCTTTTTTCTGACTTTTATTTGTTTCAGGTTGCTTCATTAGTTTCTTGCGTGGTGCTGTTGTTGGTACTCACTGTAATCGGTCCACTCTTGGAATCGGTGCCACTGGTATGTCCCCCCCCTCACACCTACTCTTGTTGCTTCAAGCAAGAACCCAACTCTTGGTAACAAAGATGGGCATTCTTATTGAATGATTTGCCGCTTGATAGATGGATTATGTTTGGATGTCATGCTAGTTCAAACTTTCAAGGCCATTGGATTTTGGCGAACAATGTTTTTTACCCGAATCGTTAAATTTAGTTTACATAGTTGGTAGCTCACGCATAATCTTTACGTCACCTATCTGATTCATAAAATTCGTTGTTTTTTGTCGTCTTTCATGCTTTCGCCGCAACAGTTTCATTTATCTCGAGTCATGACGATGGCACTCCCCGAATCGGTATCGTTTAAAATAAATTACACGTGCTCTGTGCCAACAAGAAAGATGTCTTGACTCCTAAACGGAATGCAAAACAAGTTCGGCTTTGTGTGCAATTAATTTTCACAAATGAGCGTCCAAACCCTTGACGGATATCTAAAAAAGTTTAAAACCGACTTGTTGTCAAACATACAATCCAAAAACCACTTTTCATTGGGGTCACATGGGTCATGAACTCTTCTTACAAAAAAATGAATTATTGGTTGCTCGATTGTTCTATGGCTCTCCCGTACTATCGGTTTGTACGTATGCACTTCTTAACATTCCCACTTGAGGCACCTGCCAGTGGGGATCGGTTTACCGAATAAACAACCACCTGGACTTGGTATTTGAGGATTCGTTCAGACAGCTTATTCACTTAACACAAACTCAGATGATCTGTTGTCATCGTTATGTGTACTGAAGACACTGATTGCAAAAGTTTAAGTATTTTACAGCGTATCTCGAATGCAGAATTACTGTCAAACTGTGCCCTCTTGGATTCTACCTGAATTATGGTTATATTTTTTATGAAAGCAGTGGTAAGGGTTTCGCTTTCATCCTTTTTATGACGTTTGATCCTTTTTGTATATACTTTATTATCAAGCGAATCGATTCCACCTGCCTCGAGATTTTGACTACTGAAAAGCATATGAGTAGCCGTAAATCTTGGTTCGGTACATGACATCGTTTTTTAAATACAACTAGTCTTATTCTTGAGTAGAACCGGCATATACACATACCTGCATTATTCACATACGAATTCTAAATTGAAATTGTCTATCGTATGAAATGTTTGAAAGTTCCAGACATCAGCAATGCTGTTTTCAACATATAGACTACAAGTGGTATTACTATAAGTGTTAAATGTGCACTGCGCTGTATGTCACCCCCGTAATCCACTTATCGGTCCGGGGCGTAACGCATATGACGACCATGAGCACGCCGCCGCACTTAGCCTCAGTCCGTTCCTCACTCAATCGCCAAATTTCTCTCATAAACTCAGTCGTCGATTTATCTGCGGTAAACTGTCTCAGTTTTTGGATCCACGGCGTATCGAATCAGCATACCCACTATCTTCGTGATTCGAAAACCTTTGATCAAGGCCTAACTGGCCTATGGACTGAATGCACCTATCGACACTTCACGTGGCCTCCTATTCTTTCCCATGTGTAATACACTGCCACAGAGCAAACCCTATTATGGATCGGAACGACCTAAGTGGACTGATCCATATGTTTGAAATAATTCGAACCACCCGGTGCCACCAAAGCAATGTCAACCTAAAGTTGGTTGCTTACATTCAATGTATCCAAAACAAAAAGAGGAAAACTAACAGAACTGTGCAGATTGTATTCAACCGTAGGTGTTCGAAATATCATCTGTAATTTGGTTTACATGATATTATTCCTCTCGAATATGATCAAACTCGTTGTTACAGATTTTCAGCAATGCCGTTACAAGCCAATAATATGGCTGGCACCAACTCCTAATTGCTTCTTTGTAGATTCTACACTTGTGGTAAGAAAGCGTAGTAAGCTGCTTGCCCATCAATGTAGTGCATACACCCACGCACTGCAGAGCACATGAGCCGTTTCCGGTAGCGCATTCCCTCTTCAAGGTTGATCCAACCGATTTATCTATGTTTTACCACGTTAAACCGAATTTAAATAAACGACTTTGCTCCAATTGGATGGACGAGGACAATGATAGTTAGTGTATCATCTCTTGGGATTCGGTGTTTTATATGTAGTGGTTAACTGATCGCGCCCATCCTCATCATGGACGTGCACCAAATGGGTCACATGCGAGAACTTGTTTATGTGGGTGTAACCGTCGCGTATCAGTTCCTGAACAATTCACCGATAAGATTAAAGAAACTATAAATTACCACTAAATTCTATATAATTATGACAATCCTGTAAACAACGGTGTTGATTGTTGGTTTTGTAGCTCCGGTAGTGCAACTTGATACTCATTTGTTTGATGAGCTTGGCAAATAGATTGCAAACGTTTAATCGATAATAGAGGTTACACCGACAATGCAGTGGCTGGATGAAACACCCATTTACTCCATAATAAATATCACTTCCATTTGTGGCGAAACGTCGTTATTGTTATCATTGAGGAGGTTTTTGCTACTTTACCTTTGAATCGTTTTCTTGTTGTTTTGGTGTCCACTTTTCCTTTGATTCATTTCCAGCGTCACAAAACTGTAACTGCTCAGTTGTTGTGAGAATATTTTCCGTTGATGGGAAACAAAATGTTATGTATTGAGTTCTGTCATTCTTTCACTCCCTAAACTTATAATTAGCAAATCGATTTCAACAATGAGTTCTGTAATTTACCTCAACCGTAGTGCGAGTTCTAGAGTGTTCTTTACCATCAATTTGAGTATTAGCAGCTCATTTAGGGCTACCTAATTCGCGCAATCTACGGCAGAATCGCTAAGTGTTGGAATAGGGCGGTGGTGGCCCGGTGGTAACGTCACCAAATCACCACCTCGGGGACGTGTGTTCGAACCCCACCACCACCGCCTGACTTTCCTCATTGCATCCCTTCGGTTGTCCGCTTCCCCCTTCCTGAAAATTGTATCATTGTGTATTCAGTAAAAGAAAGTAAAGATTTAAAAAATGATTGTTTAAAAATAATAATTACACCACACATTTGAGTCCAGACTGTATGCCAAACAAATCATGGTACAATAGTCTTTATGAAAACAAGTTCCATGATTTGCTCTTGGGTATGATACTGCTAGTTTGCCCCCGCTAAGGCAGGTGAGTTGTCTTGGAGAATTCACGATCAGAACCTTTCGGCTAGCCAAAGTCTCACCCGCGAGGTAGTGGGGCGTTGTAAAAACCGCAGTCCATTAGGGGCCGCTGTCCAGTTAATCCGGCGGGGTCCAACGCCCAGTGTACAACACACCTCGATGCCCACACAAGCCGAAACGGAAACGTACGATGTAGCGTAACAACGCCGGAACGTTGGAAAATAGAGGTGGAGACCGATGGAGCTAATAACCAATGCTACGACCAGGAACGTGCGGGTGGCTGTTATTTATATGCCTCTTCTTGGTTGTCTAAGAATCAGGATTTTTTGCCAGCTCCCGTAAGTGAACTACCGGTGGTTCACCGACCCGACTATTAGCCCGGACGTTGACTTTTCGTTCTCTCACATTGTTGAAAAAAACCTCAGCCACCGCAAGGCGGTGTTTAGGGCTTCCTCCACAGAGGCTGTTTGAGACGCTTGGTCGTGTAGGGACAGTTCACAAGGTGCAATGGAGAATTTAACCAGCCACGACACGAGGCATCCATATCCGACCATAGTGAGGTTTCCAGAGGTACTCCAAATTTACCTGCAAGTCGATATTCACGCCAGTAAGCTCAGGTGCATTTAAAACTTCATCAGAGTATTTGGCATACAGTGTAGCTAGTTTAGGCTCGGTCGCGACCTGAAAGAAGGCTCTTTTAGTTATGGAAAAAGATTGAAATTATTATGATTTAGATTGGACTAGCGAATAATCGTATTTCGGGGACCTGTTTTCGGCGCAGGTCACAGTTGAGAAACAAATCCCGTCTTTATTATACAAAATACTTTCGAAGCCCGTTTCATTCCAATGTTATTGTATAGGCCGAGCATGATTTCATTATTCGATTCGGTTCGTCTTGGTCAAACCTTTGTCAATGAGTTTGTTATCAAGCTGGTATTTCCATTTCAATGAAGTTTGTTGTTTGAAACCACTCAGGAGTGGGAATAAGGAAAGTAAAATATTACTTGATTGATATAATCTCTATGTTTATGATGCCCAGTTCCCGAGGTGTTATAGACCCCCGAGTCCGTTAGTTTTCGTGTTTCTGTTAGTCTCTAAAGTTGAAATGGCATTAACCAGATATGATCAGAACATATTCATTAATTTATGTGATCATCGGTCCTTGTTACTTGAATCGTCGTGTTCTTCTCCTGGTCGGTGCTATAGGCTGTGCTTTCCTCCATCATTGCTGTCTCCTTGACTGGGATTTTGATACAAGTGACCGACCTACCCAAACTGTATCGTGCCTCCATCATAGACATGGTACGTTTTCTCTGATACTTGCACAATTTTGCTATTAGTGAGTATTTGCATATTTGGATCTTAATCCTGCATTGTGCTGTGATCGAAAGTAGATGCTTCCCATAGGTACAAGAACCCAATACGACGTGGTATTAGTCGATGTTTTATGCTTTGGGTTTTGTGTTGATCTCTGGAACGAATCGATACGAAAGCTACCTAGGGCCAAATGGGCAAATTATTGGAAACATTGATTGTCGATGCTAATTACGATGTTCGAAGTGATTGGATACTTTGGCGATTCATTCGGATTATGTAAAGTTTTTATTTCTGGTTTCACCTCTATTGCTTTATGAGCTGTCTACCTCAATCTCAAAACATCAAAGAACTAACTAGGTAGCCTGATGTTCATAGAGCATTTATCATTGATGTAAATTTGTGTCGCTGTTTTGACCGATGGATGTTGCCACGTCCCTCTTCATCAACGTGATCGACCATTATGAAGGATTAAAATATCACGAGGGTTTACTTTTCATCCATTCTTAGTCTGGAATCCACATTGCAAATATCGCTGTCCATGGTAGGCATTTAGCAAACATTTGATGGGCTTATATCGGTCGTTATCCTGTAATGCATATCTGTATAAAGTTTTTTACTGTTTCTCACTTATTACTACCTAAGTCATGGAATTGCTCCAAGTCGGCAAGTGATTGGGTCGAACAACATCCGCCACAACCGCAAGAAATTTTAGCAATTTCACTGGAGACGTGTAAATATACACTGGGGTTAGGTGACGTTTTTGTTTTCGTGTGTTTTTGGTGAGGCACGGTTTATTTTGGGGGATCGGTGTTCCATGAACAAAGTGAAGTGTGTACGTGACACAGAGAAGAGTTATATGTTCGTAACTAGTTAAATTACCGTCTAAACTTCTTAACCCAGCGCGCACTGCGCTTCCGTTGATCAGTAATCTCCTCGGTATTACTTTCATGTATTCCTGCAGTTGCTGTTTTTCTGCCTTGAGTTTTCTGTTTTTTATTTATCTGTTTCACACATTTTCCATATTGTAGCTCATCTGGTTAGTGGCGTTCCTGGCTACCGTATGTCTTGATATACCCTACGGTCTGATCACGGGGTTGACATTCTCGTTGCTGACTGTCCTCTATCGAACTCAAGCCTCTTTCGCTTATGAATTGGCTCAAGTATCGGGTACCGAACTTTATGCTGATGTCAGGTATTATCGTGAAGTAAGTGATTTAATTGATTTCTCTTCACATTATTGAAAGTGCTGGATAAAAATAAACCCATGTTTCTGTATCACAACTTGATAATTCGATAGCAAACTGGGAATTATCTTGTTTCATTGATCGAAGCCAGTACAGACTATCCGGGGATCTGGTGTTAAAACTATACTAGATCTATCTAACTTTCTCAGTTCTTCGTATTTCAGGGAAAAATTTGAATAAACTATATTGTCTTTTTCAGAACATTTCTATAATCATTTGTGTTAATAGAAGGAACAAATTATCGTCGTCATAAAATCGGATCTATTTGCAATTACAGTTGCCTTAGTTATTCGTTGACTTTTGATGTTCGTACTGTTGGACCAAAGAATGATAACTCATTTGTTAGTCAATTAACTGACAACCCATTGTACGTAGTATAAAAAGGAGAGCTGGGCTAAAGTCAAAGTCAAAGTTCTATGGGAATTACTCACAAGCTCGTGCTTCTCTTGTCCCCATAGGATATTTACACAGATGAATCGTTATCCGCCGAAAAAGAAATCACATAGAGTTCCGAGTAGGAGATAATAGAGAATGTAGGCTACAGTGAGTTTGCGTTTGTTTGTGTGCGAATGTAAAGTGTGAGGTTGTTTTGTTTATTTGGGACTACCGCCGAGATTTATGAAGCTGAAACATTTACCAAATGAGTAGTGCCCCTCATGACATGACATGACAAATCGGTCGTGGCCACTATAATTTGTTCTTACTTGCTGTTTGGTTTTCTGATTTATTAGCGTGATGCCAAAATGCTCTGGCTTTCTGTTCACTGTTTTAGACAAAAAGAATCCCCGGCTTGATCATTCTCCGCCACGGCGGTCCGTTATATTACGCAAATCTGGAAGCCTTTCAGAATTGGATTTTGAACTGCACTCACATTGANACACAATCAGAATCCGGTCACCGAGACTGCTCTTGACGAAGTTGAAATCCAACCTGCCTTGTCGGTTAGTGCTGAACTCATTGAGGCTTCCTTTCTGTTTGCCATACATTACTATTCTCATCACACTCAGATGGATTTTGATAATCATTACCGGTTGACAGGGTGAAAACGCACACCGTGATAGTGAACAATGCTTCAACTATCAGATCCACCAAAACCTATCTTTTCTAATCACGAATCATGTCCATTGATTGAGAATACACAATGTAGTATAGTAGTAGTAGTAGTAGTAGTAGTCAGTATAGTTAGAGTAGCCCAAACTTGTGCTTTTATCATAAACCCCCTAAATTGATATACATATGCACCTCGGCTTCATGGCTATTCGATAGGAAATAAGATGTAAACTGACTCTCGAAACAGTACCGTTCTGTTTAGGCTACATGTGTTTAATCAGGTCAAGTCCCGGGTCTTGTTTCGGTGGTCCTAAATGCTAAACCACACGTTCACTGAACTTTAAGACTCACTTAGTTGACAGTTTACAGTAGAGCGGAAAAATCTTGAAATGTAGTCACCAATGCTTGAGAATATAATAGCAGCCCATGTTGGTCGGTAGGGTTTTGGATTGGCCCATTCGTCTTTTTGCAAGCACCAGCACGGTGGATGGCCTTGGATGTGTGTTTCACTCACCAGTTAAACGTCTTTAAACGCGAGGGTGTATGGGGACAGAAAAAGCACGGACTGCTGATGACTCCCAAACAGAAGGAAATGACTGTCCATCACTCTTTACCGTATTGCTATCGCATAATAAAAGCACTACTATCGTACTACCGTGTTACCTTGACGCACACGGTGAAACATGCGGAAGGGATTGCTCAACCTCGTTTGCTTGATGGATTTAAGTCTATCAAGAACAATGGATCGCTAGCTCTCTCTTACACAACTCGATAGTAACTAAAGTGAGCGGTTCGCAAAAGATTCATTCCATTTAAAAAGTCGGTTTGACGTTTGATCGACATTTGCTTATCGTCTCATTTGCAGAAGATTCGCATGGGCAAACCCGTAAACAATGCGTGACAAAGTTGTGCAGATGTCTGATCTTCCTCACCTGTGATGGCGTTGTCACTTGATGAAGATTACACAAACACACTAGTATTTTGCACGTATACTATGCTTTGAGCATGTTGCAACTCAGATGATCCGATGAAGTGGACACCGGCTCCTAATGGATTGCGGTTTTCAAACCGCCCCACTGCCTTGCGGGT